CAACGTAGATATGCTTTGATAGACAAAAAAAATTGATTGAGGTCATGGATAAGTTGGGGATTGGTTTTAGAAAAGTCGTTAGAAATCTGTAGTTAAAATTGGTAATTAAAATCGGTAGTTAAAATCTGTGAAACATCTGCAACTGCTCATTCAAATGTATTTTTCTACACTCGTGGGACAACTGCATTCATCAGTAGTGATCCAGCAGCTGCTATTTCTTTTTTCTTTTTTTTTTTGCTAAACAATCTCTGTGGAGGTTTGGCACATCTGGCCAGCAACTTTTTACATGTGATCCTACTGTAAGCTCAATTCCCACTGCAACTGTGCTAGAAAAAAATCATTGGGATTACCAGATGTGTGGACTTGCAAATTCCAAAATGGGCTTGAGTCAGAATACATTTTGATTTTGATATGATTTGTCCCTGTTAAAAATATGTACAATATGAATCTGGTGTGAGAACAGTGGGAATGTTCACAAAGCATAAGTATACGGAGGATTGTAGAAAGTCTATTGTGTCAGCATCAATGACCATTTATCGTAGTAGAAATTGTTTTTGTAGCCTATGCCATTTTAGAAAAAAACATGTACTGTATTCATTGTTGTATTTTTTTTGTAAGGTAAGTTTGTTTTTTTGTAATTGTGTATATCTCTGTGGGTTCACCTGCCCAACTTGTCAGGGGCAGATGGAATAATCTACACGTTTCCTTGTTTTAAAAGTAGAAAATCCACAGCAGTAAGTAGCCACCTCCATATCAGAAACACTGGACTGACACTTTACTTTGACACAATGCAACAATGTGTCTGCCCCAGTCAAAAGATGTGAAAATGTCAAAAAAAAAACTCCATACATTGATATCTCCGGCTGGCAGGTTTGTAGCCCACATCCGTATGCAAGGCAGGACGCTCCCCTCCACGCCCGGGCTCTGGGAATGCAGATGGAGCTCTGAGAGGCCTTCAGGTGCAGCGACTTGGCCCGTGTTTCATCATTGTGACTTTTATGGCTCAGCTTTGCTCAGTCGATCAGAATGGATTTCTGTTGTGAGTCTTTGTGCCCAACATATGTTTCCAAAATCGTCCCACGCCGCTGTGACCCGGCTCTGCCTCACAGCCGGAGCCCGCAGGTGGCTACACCGCGCCTCGATGGTTGACTTTTGTGCACAAATGTTTTATCAATGTGAATCAGATTGTTGCCAGAGCAAAAGAGCCTGTTTGCCAAAGCAACTTGAGACATTCATGATTCAACGGTGGAGAATGATTTGTAGATCAGGCAAATCAAACTCAGGCCTGTGGGCCAAATTCGGACCGTGAGACCATTTTTAGTGGTCCCTGAAATGATTTTAAATTATCATTATCACAGTAACTTGCAGCATTGATGGTGATGGGCTACTATGGCATATTATACTTCATTTTAAAGCCAATTATCTCAGGAAAACAGCCATAATGTTTACTGAAATATAAGCAGAAGTTATAGTTAATTATTTTTATTTTTTTATATTTAACGATGAGTTTTCAAATACATCTCTTGATAGTTGGCCCAGTTGTGGTCGATTCCAAACCTATAATCTTATCCACATTCATGTTAAATACAGTTGGAGCGCCTACACAACAAACAAACAGCAAGAGGAGATCATTAATCTTAACTGAACATATTTTTGTTTTTCAAAGAGTCGCACAAGGACAATTTGATCCTTTAAGGACAAAACATGTATGCTATGGTTACAATAAAATTATAATTTTCACCACAATTACCTGATGTCACATGACTTTTGTATTACCGATTACATATGAACATCTACTGGTAATACTTGAAATGAGAAACTAGTACATGATATATACTAAAATATATAATTTTCATGTTTCATTTGTTTGTTTTTTTTTCCAGCTGTGAGCCAATTATCAACATTATAACAAAGATAGGCTTGATACATTTCAAAGTTTTATGAATTACAGAAGTAAATGGACTTCTATGCCACAAAAACATATTTAAACTAGCAGCCAATCGCGATGATCTTTTTCAAAAGCAAGTTTCTGAATTATTACAAAAAATTAGATTTGTATAAAATACATGTATTTTTTTCAATACAATGAGAATGTGGAGTCAAAACCCTTCATAATAGTGCATGTAGCCAAACCTGAACGCTTGCATATTTTGTTCACGGATTAAAAGTTTGGTCGTACTTTATTAGACTCAGAACTCAATACAATTACGAGCCAATTTGAGCTGAGATGACCACAAGGTAACACTTCTCTTCCCGTAGGTGGCTTTCTTCCAATTAACAGCGTAATTATATGGGAATGTACCGCTGCTTTGCAAGCCCCCAGTCTCTAAAGTGTGAATATAAAAGCATGGTGTGAGAGACTTAGGGAGCAAACTTTAATTATGGAACTGTTATGAAGAAAAGGCCGCCATTGTGGCACGAATGAAATGTATAATGAGACTCTTTGTGACCAATTGAACAAAGAAAGCATTCCATACTTTCCATTGGAGTAAACGTTATATTTTATTAACAGTTGTGATTAAAAACATATTACAAGCCCTGCACCTGTGCACTATACTTTCAGCTCGTGCAGCAACCCATCGTCACCTCAACAGTGGAGAAACTGCACAACAAACATAATTCTAATAGATCCTTTTGTCTTTCCTGATTGAAATGGAACTGAGGTAAATCTGCAAAAGTACCAATTAAAAACAGCCGTTGAACAATTGAAGCCAGGGCTGAACAAATTGATTGTTGTATACATTAGGTCATAATTATTGTCATTCTCAATATGTTTTTTTTATATTCTAATTCTCATATTTTTATCTCCATACTTCCCCACAAGTGTGGGGACCTCTCAAAACAATAATGACCGCTGCCCATGGCAACGCACTCTCTGCTTGTCTTTCAAATGCGTGGATAACTCCGCAAGTAGTTCCGGCCACTCCGGAGTTGCCAGCCTAACTGTTGCTAGCATAGCCACGGGAAAGCCTTTGGGAACTATTTTATTTTCTGTCATTAAATAAACCTTTCGGCATTCCTAAAAGTGGACTGAAGTTTATGTTGTGTGTTCTGTTGGTATAAAGCCGTATAATAAGCGGGATAACGTATATTATGCAGGTCATTATCGGTAAATAAGTACCTCCAGGGCGAATGCGCGTCGGGGTCCGCTTCCGCCCTGAAGGTTATATACGTTATCCCTTACGTAGTAGTAGTGCAGTTATATACTGCAGTTATATACATACTGTACAGTTAAATAGTGCAGGATAATAAGTAGATAAGTAAAGTGACATGAGGTAAAGTGACATAAGGTAAAGTGACATTGTTCTGTGACATTCTGAAGTTGCAGTATTGTCAAAATAATGAAAATTGTGTTGAGATAAAAAACTAGATAGAAAACATATATTGTTGTGTTTTTGAGATGTATCAATGAACGTTTTGCTGCAAGTGCCAAGGTTGTAAGTGAAACAAAGAAAAATGTAGAAACTGCAGCTGTTACAAGGTGAAAGAACTCAAATGCAGACACAAAATTTTCACATCTAAAAATTACAAAATTCAGGATATTACAGAAGTCCAAAATCTAAACACGAAGGAACAGGGACAAGAACACAAGAGGAGAGAAGCCCAGGGATTAAATACACACAGGTGAAACACAAAAGGGCGGGACAGGAAATCAACTGAACAGACAAACACTCAAAAAGAACCAATAAATCAAAATAAAACCATGTGAAAGTGATCAAAAAGTGATCAAACAGTCCAGACCATGACAGCAGCTAACTGACCATTTCAAACAGATATTAGTCCCTTTGTTTTACTGACAGAATCTCACACATGCTCCCATTCTGTAGCAACAGTAAAATGTTTTGTTTTACACTGAAATGGGACAAAATACAAACTGAAAATACTTGATGATTTTGGAAGTGTTGGAGTTCCACGGACATGTCTTCTGAAACCATAACATTTGAAGTATTTCAACAAAAAAATTACATTTAAAAAATAAAATGATTTATGATAATTGTGACACTTGAATATATTGAAATCTTATGACATCACACAGCGGCCAACACCCAAACTCTACAGCTCTCTCTCTGTTTCCATGACAGCACCGATCTTGAAGTTGGGAAAGAAGACTGATTAGTGTGTTCATCGATTAAGTTTATCTGAACATGACATTTTCTCCCAACGTTAGCGGCGATGTGTCCGATGTGTTCTGGACAAATCTCTTTGATGAGTGCACATACTGTACAAGTGTGAGGGACATGGATTTCCTATAATGACTGTATGACAGCAGCCTCACATCTGCCGCGCTATCTTCACCTCAGTGTGGCAGCTCCAGGGAGAAGTGTTACTCAAATACATTTACTTTACTTTACTTTTTTTGTGTAGTTCAAGAAAGGTCTGGGACTATGGGACACTGCCCTTCACTGGTTCCACTCCCACTTCACTGACAGGGCCGTGTACCTGGACCGTCTCAACCCCATATAATCATCTGTGGGGGGGTCCCTTAGGGCTCCGTAATCGGCCCAACCCTATTCATCATCCATCTTTCCCCCTTCCGTTGTCAGCATAAATGTCATAAATACCCACTGACTTCCATGTATTCTTATTAAATTCCAATTTGGTGTTCACTGAAACATAATCGACTGCATGTTAAGGTCGTATTAGTTCATATTATTTTACTTTTACTCTTTCTGTTGGGACAATGTTTTATTCATGAAAAAAAGTATTGTTTGCGATCCTCACTTTTCTCACTGCACCTTTGTCTTTCAGTAAAACTTACCAACCACATCCAACACAGCGATAACTCCAGCTCCAGTTCCACATGCCCACTCTAAACAATTTAAACGGCATTAATGTGAGATCAATGTGTCAAGTCGCTTTATATTGTCACAATTAGAAAACAATGGGCATCCTCCAACCACAAAAAGGAGCTATTTTAAGTCATGCTCTATCAGTATAAGGGAGAGGCAGCCGAGAGGATAATTGCGTATTGACAAAAGAGGAGCAGAGCAAAGGCCCATTTACCCTGTCATCTCGCTCCTCTGATTACGACTTTTACTGGCCACATAATTGAGACGGTGCCTGATAAAAAACAAACAATTTAGTGTCAAATGAAAGCATAAAAATATTAACACGCTGCTTAAATGGTACTTTTTCTAATAATAAGCAAGTTTAGGAGCTCACAACCGTCTGGCCTGGATTTTTTCAAAACTTATAAATATGGTTAACATGGAAATTTCTAATAATCATTACCTTTGCATGAACGTGTGGATCTGGACTTTAACTTGCATATAAGAGTGTTGGCAGTGTGGGAAGTAGCTAAGTGAATGTTGTTAAAGGGACGTTTATATTTTGTGGTATTTGGTCATGCAAGAAAATACTTTAGGGCATACCATTAGGGGTGCGCGTGGCCTTATGATACGTATCAAGATTAGCTCTGAGATGATACCGCTATAGAAATCTGAATTCATATGAAATGCACTTACAAGTTTTTATCTAATCCTCAACTCTTGGTTCAAATACAGATCATATACTGTAGTCTGTTGTTCTGTGCTAGCAGTAAGGCCACCTGATGAATGGGGAATATGTTTTGTATCGCTGTCTGTACAACATTCAGTACTCTGGACTGAATGTTCTAGGTTGCTACTGATTGTTTACTGCACCAGAGTCTATCAGAGTTTAGAAGCATAACGTACGGCTTTGAGATAGGATAATAAATCCTTTAATCGTCCCACAGTGGGGAATTTTTAGTGTTGCATCACCAGTTACAGAAAAGTAGGAATGAGGAGCACACAGCACAAGATTAATGAACAATAACTCTATACTAAATAAAATAAAATAAAAATCTCTAATTCTACCATGAAGAAGAAACAAGTATAAAATCTCTATATTTAGCATAATACAGAAGTATAAAACCCCAACTTTTGGCTTACTAAGAAGCAAGTATGAAGTACTGTGTATTCTAGGTAATACTGTATATAGTACTACTGTATTATTACATATCTGATAATTCTGCCTTTCACCAGTCACTTTACCTGTTGATATCTTACTGTTTTATTCATATCCATCTGATAATTCTCCCATTCAAGTCACTTTACCTGTTGATATTATTTCTGATGTTTATTCTGCTCATATTCTCATATTCTCCGCTGCTAATGTATAATATAGACATCTGTAAATACTCCGAACCAAGTGCAATTATAGCCCAGAGTTTATCTCATCTTATTTTATTTTATTTTATCTTAAATTTATTGTCTATTACCTTAAATAATAGACTTTGATGTGTGCAATCTGAGTGCTCTTATTTCCTCCCTCTGCTGTAATGTGCAACGATGACACTGAAATTTCTCCACTGTGAGACTAATAAAGGTTTATCTTATCTCATCTTATCTTAACAGTGGACACATGTAGTTATTATTTAAGTTGGTAAAGGTGGTAGATTATCAAAGTTATTATTGCACAGATGAGTAAGTAAAGTCAGTTGAGCCACTTAATAGCAATGAGGACTTGATTTCTTGAATATCTGAGGTAGGTACTGTGTTTAGTGTCTCTAGTGTGCTAGCTTTGTAGCTCTAATACGGCATATTTATATTTGTTTTATTCACATATACATTGCAAACAATATCAAGAAGTCCTACTACATGCGTGTTCCATCCTACATGTCTTTCCATTTCCTCACTTTTATGAGCCATGAATCGACGTGAATCATGAAAGTGCTGTCATAACTCAATCTACACTAGTCTTTCAGACACACCTGTATGTGTTAAAATCATTAGTATCAAAAGGTTCTCTTCCCCAAAGTTGTCATTGTCTACTTGTAATGTTAGAACTCTGAGATTGAAATAAGGGGCGACAGTAGCTCAGTTGGTAGAGCATTGGCCTTAAGGGCCAGAAGGTTGTGGGTTCAATTCCCACCTCTGCACCTTCTCCACCGACTCCCACTGATAACTGCTGTCGTTGTGTCCTTGGGCAAGACACTTAACCCCACTTTGCCCAAAGCCCCGACTGAAAGATCAAGGCTATGCTCACACTCAGAGAGCAGCCGTCCTCCTGTGGACTCACCACCTGCAGAGGGTCAGTGAGGGGCTGGTGCTATGAGACTTGGGTGGCATCTCTGACTGCCACCCCCCTGACCCAGAAATGGATTAAAGGGATGGATGGATGGATTGAAATAAATCCACAAAGGATCCTGGATCAGCCGTGGATTGAACCTGGACTAAACCTGGATTTAACCTGGACTGAACCTGGACTGAACCTGGACTGAACCTGGACTGAATATGACCCTAACCCTGTTCTAAACATTGAACAAATCAGTGTAAGGAAAAATTATAAATGTTCATACAAATTTAAATGAGTACATTTTGGTATGACAGTTTTAATCACAAAAGCACGTAAGCAACTTTTCTTGCCGTGTCCGTAATTCAAATGTGTTGTTATTACCTGGAATATTGCACAGTAGAACATTAAACATATTAATTTACACAGGAGAAAGCCATCTGCAAAAAGACAAGCCTACACACTGTGACAAATGTATTTTCTTTTTTTTTGGAGCAATAAAAAACACCCTCGTCAATGGAATTAATTTCCATACTGAGGTACATGCCCAACACAACAACAGCATCTCCGTGGCAACATCCGAAAAGTGGCATAGTGCGGTTTTAATTTGTGGTTTTTCAGAGAAGAAATTAGCACCTGAACAATGTGTGGTCTTTTGTGGCTTCATTAAAAATCGTACCTTGGCAGAAACACACAACAGATGCTTGTATGTGCTGCTTATTATTATTAAATCACTGGCACAAACAAGTCCACTTGGAACAGAACTTGTTTTCAAAGCACAATAGACAAGATCTGATGTACAGTATTGTTGGTCCATCTGCAGGAGAAGCGTACAGTATCCTTATAGAATATATAGTATGTTCATTTATTTATGCTATAGCTGCAATCACACTAATATCAACAACTTCTGTTGCAAAAACATCCCCCCACTCCTTCTGTCCAAAAGCACTTTTTTCAAACTTGTTCCACTATTGAAAATTATTACTTACATTACATTACAGTATATTGCGACTTATTACTTCAATATTCTTGGACTAGTACGTATAAGAAAAGATAAGATAAGATAAGATAAACCTTTATTAGTCTCACAGTGGAGAAATTTCAGTGTCATCGTTGCACATTACAGCAGAGAAAGGAAATAAGAGCACTCAGATTGCACACATCAAAGTCTATTATTTAAGATAATAGACAATAAATAAATGAAAGATCAAGGCTATGCTCACACTCAGAGAGCAGCCGTCCTCCTGTGGACTCACCACCTGCAGAGGGTCAGTGAGGGGCTGGTGCTGAGACTTGGGTGGCATCTCTGACTGCCACCCCCCTGACCCAGAAATGGATTAAAGGGTAGAAAATGGATGGATGGATGGAATAGACAATAAATGTAAGATAAAATAAAATAAAATAAAATAAGAAAATCTGGGCTACAATTGCACTTGGTTCGGAGTATTTACAGATGTCTATATTATACATTAGCAGCGGAGAATATGAGAATATGAGCAGAATAAACATCAGAAATAATATCAACAGGTAAAGTGACTTGAATGGGAGAATTATCAGATGGATATGAATAATACAGTAAGATATCAACAGGTAAAGTGACGGTGGAAGGCAGAATTATCAGATATGAAATAATACAGTAGTACTGATAACAGTAAATATCAGATATGTAGTACTGTAGTAGTACTGATAACAGGTAAAGTGACTAGTGACAAAGTTACTAGTGAATTATCAGAAACACTTGTGCAGACTCAGCAGTTCCTGTTACACATTCTCGTTGTACAGTCTGACAGCAGCAGGAAGGAAAGACCTGCAAAACCTCTCCTTCACACATCGAGGGTGAATTAGTCTGTCACTGAAGCTGCTCTCCAGAGCAGAGAGAGTGTCCTGCAGGGGGTGACAGTCATGGTCCAGCATAGATGTTAGTTTGCTCAGGACCCTCCTGTCCCCCACCTGCTGCACTGTGTCCAAGGAACAGCCCAGGACTGAGCTGGACTTCCGGATGACCTTGTCCAGCTTCTTCCTGTCCCTCTCTGTGATACTGCTGTTCCAGCAGACCACACCGTACAAGATGGCTCATGCCACCACAGAGTCATAGAAGGTCTTCAGGAGTGGCCCCTGCACTCCAAAAGACCTGAGCCTCCTCAGCAGGTAGAGGCGGCTCTGGCCCTTCTTGAAGAGGGCGTCTGTGTTATGAGTCCAGTCCAGTTTGTGGTTCAGATGAACACCCAGGTACTTGTAAGAGTCCACTCTCTCAATTCCCTTTCCCTGGATGTTCACTGGGGCTGGAGCGGCAGAGTGACGTCTGCGGAAATCCACCACCATCTCCTTGGTCTTCCCCGCGTTGATGAGGAGGTGGTTCCGCTGACACAAGTCCACAAAGTCCTGTATAACTCCTCTGTACTCTGCGTCATCGTCCTCGGAGCTGAGTCCGATGATGGCAGAGTCGTCTGAGAACTTCTGTAGAACACAACCGTCCGTGTTGTGTCTGAAGTCCGCAGTGTAGAGGGTGAAGAGGAACGGTGCGAGGACTGTCCCCTGGGGGGCCCCCACACTGCAGGTCAGGACCTCAGACACGTAGTCCCTGGTTCTCACAAACTGGGGTCTGTCTGTGAGGTAGTCCAGGATCCACTCAGACAGGTCGTAGTCCACACTGGCTGTCTCCAGCTTGTCCCTGAGAAGCCTCGGCTGGATGGTGTTGAAGGCGCTGGAGAAGTCGAAGAACATAATCCTCACAGCGGTGCCGGGTTTCTCAAGGTGGGACAGCGAGCGATGGAGGAGGGAGATGATGGCGTCCTCTACTCCGATGCCCGGCCTGTAGGCGAACTGCAGCGGGTCCATCGCTGGGCTCAGAGTGGAGCGGAGATGTCCCAGGACCAGTCTCTCCAGTGTCTTCATGCAGTGGGATGTTAGAGCCACTGGCCTGAAATCGCTGAGGTCTTTGGCCCGTGGTTTCTTGGGCACTGGTACCACACAGGAGGTCTTCCAGATCTGTGGTACCGACCTCAGGCGGAGGCTCATGTTGAAGACGTGCCCCATAACTCCGCACAGTTCGTCTGCACAGGAGCTGAGGAGCCTGGCGCTCACATGGTCTGGTCCCGCCGCCTTCCTGGTCTTGATTTTCTTCATCACACCTCTCACTTGAGCAGGTGTAAAAGAAAGGGGAGGGCTGGGGGGCTGGGTGAGTATCTGTGTCTGAGGGGGGGGGCCGTGGAGCACTGACAGAGGTGTGAACGACTGGGCTATTGTCCACTGCTGAGGCGGCTAGGACATGCGGCTGAGCTGGGGGAGGGGTGGGTCTCTGATCAAACCGCAGGAAAAATTGGTTTAGATCATTAACCCACTGGGGGTCCCCCACAGGCTGGACAGGGGGTGTTTTGAAGCCCGAGATGGTCTTCAGGCTCCTCCAAACCCCTGCCACATTCTGTTGGCTCAGCTGTTCCTCCATCCTGTTCTTGTAGCGGGCCTTTGCAGTCCTGATGCTCAGCCTCAGTCTCCGTTGTACCTCCTTCAGTGCCTGTTTGTCCTTTGATAGAAAGGCCCTCTTCTTCTCCTTCAGCAGGGCCTTAATCTCAATGTTCATCCACGGCTTATTGTTGGAGAAGCATCGTACCATCTTGGAAGGCACAGCGATTTCACAGCAGAAGTTTATGTAATCAGTTATGCATTCCGTGATGGCATTGATGTCGTCCCCGTGGTCGCACAGTTCGTCCCACAAAGTGCAGTTAAAACAGTCCCTCAGCCTGTCTTCACACTCCACAGTCCACCTCTGGACCAGCCGAGGAGTGGCTGGTTCTCGGTGTACAATGGGCGTATACACAGGCCTCAGGTGCACGATGTTATGGTCAGAGCAGCCGAGGGGGGGGAGGGCAGTTGGTTTGTATGCCCCTGTGGCATTTGCAAAGAAGAGGTCCAAAGTTCTATTGTCTCTTGTGGGAAAGTTGATGTACTGGGTAAATGTGGGAAGCACAGTTTGGGGGTTCGCGTGATTGAAATCCCCAGTGATCAAAAACAGAGCTTGGGGGTGCAGAGTCTGTAGGTTACTTACAGTAGAGTGCAAAAGGTCACACACATCCTCAGCCTTGGCTGAGGATGCTATAGATATCAAAGATTTATCTATAGATGTATACATAAAGGTATATTGCACTTTATACCTCCCCCATCAACCATTCACACACACACCGGACTCATTCTTGGTACTTTACAGCCACAGCCTCCCAACTGTGGCACCTGGTGTTCCCATCTGGAGGTCTCCCATCACAGTACTAACCAGGCCCTGCTCGACTTAGTTTCAGAGGTCTGAAAGGAATCGGGCTTTTGCATGCAGGTATGGCCATCTTTAATATAGTCATATAATTTGGTCTAATTATTATTATGGGAGGTTTTGGCTTAGGCGCACTACCTTAAATATCCAGTTGGGGGCACACCTCAGAAGTGGAGTTAGCCTTGGCACACAGCATGGATCTATTGGCACACAGGCCAACAGTTTTTGACTGCATTCTGAAATGCAGTTCTAAATGTAATGGTTTTTTGGTATTTTTTCTGAAATTTTAGGTGAATAAAAGTAAACATTCTTTACAACTGTGCAGCGCAGTGATAGATTTAGATACAAATCCAAAAGAATCCAATTTGCACTTTTACCACTATGAAGTGTAACTATTTTGAGAGCTATAGACCTCAGCTTTATGTAAGAGAGTTTGCAGCCGTGCAAATATTGAGATACAAGATGAGAACTGACCCAAAACAAGACTATTTGGTCAAAACAAAAAATAAAATGAATTGTGAAAGCACTTTTTCACAATAGACATTTTGTTAGAACTAAGGATCACCACATATAAATAATGACATGCATTTTACTAAGTTTTATATTAGCTGTATTTATTTGTTTGTACTGTAACCATCATTTTGAAAACAATTTTTTTTTACTTTAATACTTTCATTTTACTTCATCAGTGCCATTTCAGTCCTGTAGCACAGCCATTCCCAAACTCAGTAACACCGAGGCCCCCTTAAAAATCTGTCGGGTCTGTGTGGCCCCCCAAAATAATAACCAAGAAGACAACATTAAGAATAGGCTCTTCTGGTTATTTTATTTTGGGGAAATAGCCTCTGCTACAAACATTGTAATACAAAAATGATTACAGTGGATTATTCAAGTCAAATAATGAACACAAATATTTTAATATTACAAACAAAACATTATACATTTAACATTAAATAATTATATTATTTTTTTATTTTTTTTATGACCTCCCGCGGCCCCCCTGCAGTACCCTCGCGGCCCACCAGGGGTCCGCGGACCCCACTTTGGGAGACACTGCTGTAGCAGATTACATTATGGATTCCCTCTTGGTCAATGAGCTCCATCTAGTGTATGTCCACGGGCTAACAACAGATTTGAACTCAACAAAGACTGTGGTAAAACATTGAAAAATAAACGAGGAAGACATGTCATTTAAGTGGATTACCTTTTCAGACAGCCCTTTGCCATCTTGGCGACACAATGACAGTCAATCAATCAATCACATTCTATAAAGCGTTTTTCACACAAATCAGTCCAAACACAGTTCTTTACAGTTTGGTTAAAAATAAGGAACATGCCCATGACCCATTCACCTCTCTCTCAAACACACACACACACACACACACACACACACACACACACACACACACACACACACACACACACACACACACACACACACACACACACACACACACACAAGGTGATACCATGAAAAACATAAGGCTGGGCACCAACTAAAACAGCAGAGGAGTTGTCTGCACCAGGAGCAGAGAGCCGTCAGCAGTCACATGGGAAGGCCACAGGACCCAGAGGAGAGATGAACCCAAGGCTACAGACCTCCTCCAGGTCCAAGAACCAGACCCCCACAGCCACAGCAGACCACCGCTCCCAGTGCAGAAGGTTCCTCCAGAGAGACCCTGGGGATACTAAAACTCAAAAAAGTGAATTATTCAAGTTTAAAATCACTACAGCACAATGAATGATAAAACAGAGTACGTCTAAAAGTAAGATTAAGAAAAAAACTACTGTCGTTGTGTTCTTGGCAAGACACTTAACCTCTGGGAACACCAGCCACAGTGGGGCGGCTGCGGCTGTAAAGTGCCAAACTGCCGTTGTGTCCTTAGGCAAAACACTTCACCCCCATTGTCTAGAATGAGTATGGTGTGTGTATTAATGGTTGGTGGTGGTCGGAGGGGCCGATGGCGCATACTGGTTGCCTCGCTTCTGTCAGTGTGCCCCAGGGCAACTGTGGCTACAGTAGTAGTTTATCACCACCGTGTATGGAGTGAATGAATAATGACACATGTGAAGCGTCGTTGATTGTCCAAAAAAACGATGCATTATTATTATTAAGACACTTAACCCCACTTAGGCTGAAGCCCCTGCTGAAACACCAAGGCTGCCTCTTCGTTGATGGTTCTTATCCTCTCTGATGGTAAAGCTGCTTGGCAAAACTTCTTGGCATCCAGTTCCTGTAAATTCCTGGGCTACCTTGCATGCACTGCACGTTTGAAATCTCCCCAGAGAAGTTTGTGTATGTTAACATTTGAAAATGTTTATTTCCAACATATGGCTTAAACAATGAAATCTTTCTGGCTGGTTATGAAAACTTTCAAGCACCACTGTACACACTCGCATCTACAGTATCTCTCTTTGAGCACTCACCTCATATACCCCTACAAGCCAAAAATAAAGTCTTTCCCGTACTTTTATAGCTGGGAAGTGTTATTTCACTGCCAGAGCACCCAAGGGTCCCACACGTGCCTGGTACAGCAGCACCCTGGGGACCTCCTCAGACAAGCAGCCTTGCATCCTATATGACTCGGACAAAAAATATAACACAGCCAGGGCATTAGATAAGAGCCGTGTTTCTGCTCTGATCGTTGCACAAGCTTGGTATTAACCTTAATTGGAGAGGCTTGGGAACACGCAGGAAAACTCCGGCTCGTCCAGACACGGCTATTGTTCCCCCGGGTCGCATAAAATCGAAAGCAAGTTCATTGAATTGCAAAATACTTAGCCTTACACAACGCAACAATGGATGAGAAAAATCCTTCTGCAAGACGTGATGTAGAGTCGGTCCGGAAAGCAATATCAAATGCGCCGCTGAATTAACGCGACTTAATTTTGCCCCAAGGCTGAAGAACTCGGTTTAATTTTTCCCAAAACGACGATAAGAAAACACAGCAGGGTCCTAAAACAGCAAGAAGAGATTAAAGTTATTTAGAACAGCAATCAAACCTCGACCTAGTTCTGAACTTTGAGCCTATGCATAATTCACCAATATGGCTCATTGTATGCAGTAATAAGCAGTTTTCTTCATATAGCAATGGTCCATGTTTGGGATAGTACATGGAGTTCTTGGAGTTGGAACAAGCAGCATGGAGGTCCCCAAAGATCTCCCCTGAATCAAGACACAAGCCTTATTCCTTCAATGGTTTCCTCAGACATTTGGTAGAAACTAAAGCTACCTGAATTATGTTTGGAAAAGAAATCTACCTCATTGAGACGTCTTTATCACTTGGTTTAGGCACTTCTACCATCACACTGCATCTCAGCCATAAATGAATAAACTAGGGATTAAAAAAGAAAACATGCAATTAACGTGTGTAACTAAAGTCAATGATTGGTCCAGGCGCCGGCTCTCAGAAAGAAATGTAGAAAAAGAGATCATAAATTGTAACGATTAGATTCACAAAATTCTTCTGGCAAACATTGGGGATATGTTTTGTCTCGTGGATGGGGTGAGATGAAAGAAGGACCCCAAGTGCAAGAATGCCAAAAATTATAATTTGATGATAGTAAATAACAATCCAGGGAAAACACAAAGAGAGCAGGTCAAAGAGAGAAAGGAGCAGGTCAGAGAGAGAGAGGAGCAGGTCAAAGGGAGAGCAGCAAGTCAAAGGGAGAGGAGCAAGTCAAAGGGAGAGGAGTTGGTCAAAGAGAGAGAGGAGCAGGTCAAAGGGAGAGGAGCAAGTCAAAGGGAGAGGAGCAGATCAAAGAGGGAGAGGAGCAGGTCAAAGGGAGAGGAGCAGGTCAAAGAGAGAGAGGAGCAGGTCAAAGAGAGAGGAGAAGGTCAAAGAGAGAGGAGCAGGTCAAAGAGAGAGGAGAAGGTCAAAGAGAGAGGAGCAGGTCAAAGAGAGAGGAGAAGGTCAAAGAGAGTGGAGCAGGTCAAAGAGAGAGGAGAAGGTCAAAGAGAGAGGAGCAGGTCAAAGGGAGAGGAGCAGATCAAAGAGGGAGAGGAGCAGGTCAAAGGGAGAGGAGCAGGTCAAAGAGAGAGATGAGAAGGTCAAAGAGAGAGGAGCAGGTCAAAGAGAGAGGAGCAGGTCAAAGAGAGAGGAGAAGGTCAAAGAGAGAGGAGCAGATCAAAGAGGGAGAGGAGCAGGTCAAAGGGAGAGGAGCAGGTCAAAGAGAGAGAGGAGAAGGTCAAAGAGAGAGGAGCAGGTCAAAGAGAGAGGAGCAGGTCAAAGAGAGAGGAGAAGGTCAAAGAGAGAGGAGCAGGTCAAAGAGAGAGGAGCAGGTCAAAGAGAGAGGAGAAGGTCAAAGAGAGTGGAGCAGGTCAAAGAGAGAGGAGAAGGTCAAAGAGAGTG